TGCTGGAATGATTGCCTTCACTTCTTGGACTCATTATCTTGCCCTGCTGGAGTGATTGATTGCAGTCATTCTGCTTATAGCGTTTGGAGTGGAGTATCTGCAGGCAGATTTTTGGGAGAGCTTTTCTCCAGGCTGGAGAGTACATGGGACGTTGGGAGCAAAGTTGGAGCCAATAAAGGGACTCGTACCGTTTCTCTGACTGTGTTGCCTTTGTGCCATTCCCCAGGTCATCACAATAATGTACATCTTTTGTGATGTTTTCATTTATATGAACCACTTAGAGGGAAGCCCTGCTGTACTTTGCAGCATCCTAAAACAGGAAGGTTCCTTTTTTTGAAAAAGAATCCAGTGGTGGACAGTCTGGAATGGATGCCCAGAGCACTTGGCATCATCAAGTCAATTGGCTTACTGTTCTCTCCACCATGAGCCACTTCATAGTCAGAAGCAGGAGTATATTTCACATCATTCCAACAGGCATCATGTTCAAGTGCCCAGAATAAAACTGGTGCTTGGATACTTTATTACAAGTCCATAGGAAGAAGGAGGTAGACCACAGAGCTAAATGACTTAGAAAGGATTGAATTAATTACAATACATTAAAGTTAGAATGAACAAACACTGAGATTGTTATAGCAATGCTCTACAGCTACATTAAAAATCTGATGGTGGTTTAAAAGTAATTAGAACGGTGCCATCAACCCCTGTGGATCTTTGGTTTCAGGAAAATCATGAGATATTTGATCAAGCTAATTTGATTTCATATTTCCTAATAATTAGGTATCAAACATTGTAGAGGCTAATTAATAGATTTTATTAGCTTGCTTTAGCTAAGGAGGTTAACCAAAATATTTTCCAAACTCTATGATTTATTTAATGTTATATAAAGGAACCTTATTCAGAGCATTCCTCTTCATTGCAACCTAATCAATGTAATACTGTTGGTTTTATTCATAGGGTATTTATTAACACCCACTGTAACCCCTAAATGCCCAAGGAACTAGTGGAATATAAGCAAACAAATCAAATAAGCAAATTCCCTTTGCAGGATGTGGGCCTATTATATTGAATGATTAATTTCAGAAATAGTTTTTCTGAAATTTCCTGTATGTTTGTCTGGCCTTCTTAGAGAAAGGGTAGGCTAAAAAAGGTACTTTTTATATATATGAAAAAATGAGTTAATGATTCTAATGATCTCTATAAAAATTTCTATAGAAAAATGGCAAGCAACAGAAGAATCAGCAAAAGTTCTAATCAAACTACCAGTATGTCAGAAAATCAGAATGATTTGCCAATACATTGGAAGAGGTCAATCTACATATCAGTATCAGGGAATAGAGTGTGCAAACTATTGTACAATATCCTTAATTTTCCACACTATATCCCACACTAACAAAATAATGTTTCGGATTATCCCCTGAATTTTAGAGCACTACATGGAAAGGGAGATAAACCTAAAGTAGCCTTAGAAAAAAGATGAATAATAACTTTGCTCTGTTGATGCTATAATACTAGGCCAGGTGAAAGGGGAAAAAAAGGGAAAAAGATGATCAGGAGCAAAGGTGATGTACATAGTAGTAGCAATGAAGGTAAATCTGGAAGATCTGAAGAACAAAGTTGAGGACAGGGCATCCTGGAATGGACAAAGACAAATCCCTTGTGTGTCCAATCACACTTGGCCAATAAAGAATTCTATGCTATGCTATGCTATCAGTGGTGGGATACAACTGGTACGCCCCAGTACGGGCGTACCGGTGCCTGCTGGGAGCACCAGGTGCCGTTCCGGTACGGTGCTCCGGAGGGCCCATCCACCCCCTGCTCTCCTTACCTTTATTTGAGCTGACCGGGGCATTTGCGCACGTGCATGGGGCGTACGGCGCCTGCGCAATGCTCTGCCGAGCAGATGAGCATCACAGGCTGTAGGTATGCAGGCACGTGCTGCATGCGTGCACGTGGTGGATGCCCATCCCAATTGCAGCATACCGGTTGCAACGATAGCCGGAACCCACCACTGTATGCTATGCTATGCTGTGCTATTCCATTTTATTCTTTTGACCACTAAAGTTGACTTTCATTTACATAATCACTCACTCACTCACTCACTCAATCAATCAAGACATACATGGCATTGTATACACATTTGTGTATACTGCCAATTACTTCCACTAGACCAATAAGATCCCATAGACTAGGCCTCCTCCGAATTCCATCAGCCGGTCAATGTCGAC